TAGAAGCTAACTAATACTGACTCATTGAGTTGCGCCATTAGTCACCCAAAGTCAAATACAGCAAAACAAAACATCAAAATAAGCAACTTACGTATCAATTTTCCTTACAAAATACAATCTTTACTTCCATGTGCTCAACAAAAAGTAAAAACATCGACTACTCATTAAGCTTTCATTCATAAAATTGCCCCAAAATCACAAGACTTCAATTTTCAATTAGCATAAACGCATAAAACAAAGAAACCCAAGTGGGCAGCCAGCAGTGAAGAGCTGAAGTAACAATCTTGGAAACAAAAGTCCGAATCCCAGCAAACTACAACAGTCACTAAATCATTCACGTCTACCTAGGGCTTGGTGGCACATTTTCTGATACATATACCAGTAGATTAGTGGAAGTGCACCTAAACTGCTTAATCTGGCCCAGACCACCATGTTATTCGAACTAATTATTCAAAAAAAGAGGAGTAGACAAGGGAGTGAACCTGGATGCTGAAATCTCCGTCAAGGGAAACATTATGAGACTCTTCGGGAACAAAGTCGCCGCTGCCTTGAACCATCATCTGCCGCTCCGTACGGTCGAGATCGGAAGCAACCGCCGCCAAATCGAACTCTGAGAAGAAAGGCCCTTGTAAAACGGTGTTCACACAATGTACAGCGCAAAGCTTAGATTCTTGTACCTCGTGGTACAACATCCCTCCATTGCTAACTCCTTCCATTCTTCCTCCCTACTGTTTTTTAGCCTTATCAGGAAGCCAAAGTAACCTTAGGTTAGGGTTTCGATCAGCAAACTGCTATTTTCGTTTTTTAAAAAAATATCTGTGGAAATAAATTTAAGAAATTGGAAATGTAAAGAAGTTTATTTGGAAGGTAGAACTGGTGACACTTGAGAAGTACAAAAACAGTTTTTGGTAACTCCCTTTTTCTTAATTGACACGTCTCCTCATACTCTCCGCCACAACTCCAAAATGAAGGATAACATAATCGGTGTAGCTCCTGCGACTATCATGATAAGTTGCGTCGAAGTAATATTGGGATTAAAATAAACAGTAAAAGTAATTAAGTTAACGCTCATTTATTGTGGATCTACTGATTTGAATGCTTAAATTTATTTCACTTTAAATAACTGAGTGCGGTGCTGGAATGGTTTCATCCTAAATTAAAGATTTTGAATTTAAGTTCGAGAAAATTTTATTAGGAGAGTCACATTTGAATTGACACTGCCATGTGTGATCCGAATTTAATTGACACTTTAATGTAATTTCACGGATCTATAAAGGTTAACAAAAATTCACAAAATATTTATCATTTCAATTTTTCGAGTTTCGTGTGTTTTTTTTAAAGTGAAGATGGGCACAAAGGTTTAATAAAATGTGTGCGTTTTCTATTTGAATTATCACTAATTATTTATCAAAATACACTTCAATTATTGATTATTTTATATTTCTACCTAAAGGATCACCATCGTTCAGGTAGCTAGTAAAAAAGAACAATTAATAGTTGAAGTTGTTTTTAATAAATAATTGGTTATGATTCATATAGGAAACGTGCATGACTGATAGCTCATATATAAAATTCGAAAGGTGTATTTTAACCCTTTACTTTTATTATTGTATTTTTTTTCTTACTAGTATTATTACTGTTTTTTTTTTCTTTTATTATCAATATTTTTATTCTGTAATATTTCATTGTAACTTTTACTTTTGTATTTATCAGGTTTATAAAATTACTCCATAAAGTAAAGTAACTTTTGGAAGACAAAAAAATTTGATGTTCAATTACACTAAATTGAATGACCACTTGAGCAATCAATTTAATTTACCAAAAAGGACACCAATATATTTTTAGTTAATAGTCATAACACTTGATAAGAAGATTATTTATAAAGATATTCACATCGTAAAAGCTTGAGAGATATCTAGATGAAAAACATTTTAGTGGTCAAAGAGATGTAATTTGAGTTACAACTTAATACAACGATAGTAACATATTCAATGTAATTCGATGACTGAAGTATGATGATGATAAAATATATGTAAATCTTATTGATATCCTTGTGGTCAGAGAGTTTTTTTCAAAAGATTCATGACTCAAAAGAGAAGAGAGAAGGACAAAAAGAGAAATGGCGGAAAAATAGAGGAAAAAATCGAACCATGCATGCAACAGAAAAACGAATATTACAATGAATAGCAAGATACAAAGCAAATAAGCATACTAAAACATATAAAATAATAAGAAGCTACATGAATACTAAATAATACTACTTGTAAGAAAATATGTAGAGGCGACTTGACTATCCCTCCTAGAGTGCAACATCATTTGGTTATCTACTGCCCTTCTATCTCAATCGTTGACATCCATACCTTCTTAGAGTCGCGTTCTCTGTAAGATGAAGTGGCGTCATAGCTTTCCAATCACATTTCCAATTCTTCTTCACCTCACCTTTCTTAGCTCTTGCGATAGCTAACCTCTCACACCTTTTTAATGACACATCGCACACCTCTTCTTCACATGATTCCAGAATCAACTTAGTCTCGCTTTTCTTCTTTTGTTCGTTATGGAAGTCAATGCTGCCACCTTATTTCGTATTACTTAGTTTCTATATATATCCCTTTTTGTATGCTCACACATTCATTTGAGCATCCTTATCCATGTGATAGTCATTTGATGGACGTGGACGTATTTGATTGGCTAACAATTCACCTCATACATCAAAGTTAATCTAACAATCACTCTATAGAACTTATCTTAACCTTTGAAGACATATTTTTATATCACATTATCCCGAAAATGAGCCTCCATTTTACTTTTTTCACTCAAGTATGATGTACGACATCCTCATCAATCTCACCGTCTCCTTGAATTATAAAAATACAACAAGTTTGAGTCTCAACAGTTTCTTAATGACCATTATCTGGATAAAGTTGTCATAACCCAATTTAATGAAGTTGTAAGGGCGCCTACATCTTATTATAATTTGATAGATGAATCAATTTATATTAAATCATTTATTATTATTAAAATGACGACAATGAAGAATTTAATTTAATAAAAAATCATGATAACAAAGCCAAATATCAAAAGTACAAAAAACACATTAAAAAAGAAGAATTGTAGATGTGAGGCATGAGCTTTGTTGAAGACAAATAACATGTCAGAAGTGGTGAATACATTATCAAAAAGGAAATACACCAAAAAGAAATAAATAAAAATAAAGGAAAGTCAGTTGAACATCTCATCCTAAAATCTCTTTCAACTTTCTAAATACGATAATGACCTCCATTAATGTTGAGATAATGATATACCCTAAAAAATGCATCAAGTATAATATGAACACAAAAATCAGCATATACTCAAGAATTTTGATCTATAATGCAAGAAAATGATAGCCTAATAAAGGCCAAACACATAAACAACCTCTCAAACTTGCCCTCATTTTTCATTTTGGCACTCCAACTTAGCCTTATTCCATTTTAACTCTTATACTCCATTTTTTCTGTACCATTTAAACACTAATACTAATTTTTATGATTTTTATTTATGTTCTTCAATTGCAATTTCTTATTTTAAAAAATAGACATGTGTCTGTTAATTTTCATAAAAAAATTAAACATTCGCGAATGAACATAAATTTTTTCAAACAATAATATTATTTTTTGAGATTTCTCTGTATTTTTGCATGAAAGTAAATTGACGAAAGTTTTTTGATTTTCTTTCTTAAACATTCAATTAAATTAAATAACACTACTTAATTATTTTTTCTTATCATCTAGGCTATCTAAATTTAATGCAAATACTCACTTTTTATTTTTAATATAAATCACTACGAATAAAAAAACTCATCTTCAATACGAGTAAAAAAAGACTCTTGTTCATTGCTAATAACACTACTAAACAATGTTAAAAACTCGACTGACTTTGTTAGATTGTCGGTGATTTTTTAGAAAAAAAACCAACACAATTTTCGTCGGTTATTTTTCACACAAAACTACATAAAACTCTTAAAAAGAAATTATTTTTTTTTAAAAGAATTATTTTTTGTTAATTTTTATTTTTTAAAACTAAAATTAACTGACAATTGTCGATTTAAAATAAGAAGTTGCAATTGAAGAATATATATATAAATAAAGAAATCATAAAAATAGTATTTCGTGTTAAAATGGAACAAAACTAAGATACAGTGCCAAAATGAAAAATGCGGATAAATTAGAGGGATTGTATATGTGTTTGGCCCCTAATAAAAGACTATAAGTTGACAAAAAAATGAAAAAAAAAGAAACTGCTTTTTCTAATGGTAAGAAAAAAAGAAAAGGAGAGAATGCATTAAATTTCTTAAAAACTAAAGGCAAAAGGGTCTGGTGGACCCTTCTACTTGAATGAGTTTGTATCGTGAACCCTTCTACTTATCCATTTGTCATCTGAACCCTTGAACCCATCTAAATTCAATATTCTAAATACTTTTTAACCCTTTAGTTGTGTGTGTACCACAAACGCCTGACACGTAATTTTAAAAATAATTATAAATGACACGTGTATATACACCACTTCATGTCATCTTGATATTTTTATTATATTTAATTAATATATTTCTGATTTTTATTTGTCTTTTTGCCACCAAACCCACCACTTTCCCCCACAATCTCATTTCATTTCTCTTTCATCTTTCTTAAAAAAAAATAATTCAACCTCTTCTACTCTTTTCATTGAAGAAAAAACTCCAGTAGCAGAAATCATGGCTCAATCAAGGCAATCTGTCTTTGTTTTCATCTAAGTCGAAGAAGAGAGGTTCACCGCAACATCTGTGTGTGGCTATAAATACCCACATTTTTCTTTCTCATTTTTTTCTTCATTCCCACAAAATTGTTTGAGTATTTTTGTTGGTTTTGTTCGATTTTCAATTTATCTATGTAAATTTTGTAACTTATTTGTATGTTGTTTAGTCTAGATTTAATCTTCTATCTATGTCTTTGTTTAATTTTTAGGTTTTTAGTCGATTCATACTAATTATGTTGAATTTTTTTGGGAATTTTGTTTGTTATGCTTTCAATTACATGTTTCATGATTTCTATAGATTATAGGATTCTAACAAAAATAACTTTCATGATGATGCAGAAAACTACAATAGGATCAACCACAAAATGAAGCAAATAATTAAATGACAATGCATAGAAATAAAAAAGGAGTATAACGATGGAAAAAATGGAGAAGAAATTTGGGGAAAGGAGATCGAAATAGAGGCCAGAAAAAGCTCAAATTTGTCTAATAATGGTGTTAAATGCATATGGGGAAGAAGATGGCTTTATAAAACCCTAATGTGGCTATTAGACCCATTTAACCAGATCTCACGCTCCTCGGGTGTGTGTATCACACGCTCCTTTGTTGTGTCTGCCACATAGGATGCTAAGTCAGAAAATGTGTTTAAAATATAGTGTTTCAAGGAGTTCAAGAGTTCAGTTGACAAATGATTAAGTAAAAGAGTTTAGAATACAAACTCATACAAGTAGAAGGGTCCATCAGACCCTTTTGCCAAAACTAAATAATAGAATCAAACAGAACCAATAAAAGCACTACACATATACCATAAGTAATTGCCATGATTTAATTATAATAATTGATTTTTAATTTCTGGGTACTTTTCTATTGAAGTTTCTTGTTGAGCAAGTTGAGAGCTGAGACCATTTTACCTTTCTCCGGCGAAATTCAAGTTCTCTACATTTCTTTCTTTGCCGGAACCCTAAATTTTAGTGTCTGGTTTTAAGGTATTCTCCTTTTCGTTATGCTTGACTTGTTTATTCAATGTTGTTAGGTTACATAATCTACTATTTATTCTTCTAACTTAGTGCTCAATGCTGGATCTAATTACTTGAAACTTCAATGATTAAGTTAATAGTTTCTCTGAGATTGATAATTTTTTGATTAGGGATCATCAGAGAGAGAGATGCTGGTTGAGCTTTCGATTAGTTCTACTCAAGTGTTATAGTTTTGATTTTTGCTGTTTATTGTCTTCCCTGGAGCTCGTGCATAACGGGAACTTTAGTGCACCGGGCTACCGTTTGCCATTATTGTAGTTATAGATACTACTTAACTATACCTCTTAAAAAAACCCTATGATTTGCGAGGATTTTAATGGGCTACCTACCATTTCCTACCAACAACATAGGTACTGAGTTACTCTGTTCAACAAGGCTTGGACAGTGTGGAAGACATTACCTAATATTTTTGCCTCAGCTGTGATTTTAACCTGAGGTCTCGTGTTCTCAACTGACCAATAGGTCATGCCCTTGGGTGCCATTTGTAGGGAATTATTGTTATGCTTGTCCTTTTGGAGTCCAATGAAGGATTTTGTTGTCCAATTTGAAGGACAGAATGGTTGAGAATAAAACGAAATCAAGAGACACACAGTTGGTGGTGTGTGACTTGTATCCGTTGAGTCTACCACCAATATGACAACATACTTGGTGTCCATGCTTCATAGTAGGTGATGCACATGATAAGCTAGAGAAAGTGAATGGGTAAATTCAAGCAACTATGCATCATAAAAGAAGATAGCATGTCATAAGCTCAAAATCAAACAATGAACATTCAATTCCAAGCTAGTTGTTGTTGGCTCGGCAGTATTAATCCTCATTATTGTTCTTCTCCATTTAGACCCATTTATTCCAACGTTCTATAAATTAGGTTTTCTAACCTTAGAAGCTCTCTATGTGTTCTACTGATGTACAAATTCTCAACAAGATTAAATAGACTTTTAGCAAATATTGGACTAATGGAAGTGTACCAACAAGACTAAGCCAGTTTCTTTTGAGTATCAAAAGCCAATAAGGAAATGATTATGAAGGTGAAAGTGCACGACAGAGCACCTTACTATTGTGGGTCTACATTAAAGCACTGAAGTTGTAGTATTCATAATGGATGTCGCATTGTAGTCTTGTGACTCCAAACTGTCTTGTGGGGTTCTTATGAACATGACTTCTAAGGACTGAGGTTGAAGAAAGTGCATTGAGAGGGAAAATGCTAATAAATTGACAATGTGATCCACTAGAAAAAACTGATAGAAGGTGGGGAAACTTTTGTATTGAGCATAAAAAGAAGAAAAAAGGAGGAGCTGTGGGTTATATTCCTTTTTGGAGTGCAGGGCTCTAAATCTATGTTTGATATGCTCTAATCAATGTTTCTTTGAGAAATCATGGCATTAGATCTGTGCAAAAGTAGCAAAACTGCATCTTGAAAGGCTGCTTCAAGGAATGACTGTCTTTAGATTGTTTTAAAGAGCCACAACAAGTAAAAAAAAATATTTTCTTTTCATGGGATTTTATGGACAGCCTTCACTATGTTTTAATGTGACGAGTTTGGATGCTATCTTCTAAGCAAAAGTTAGACTACCCCCAGTTGCAGAACTATTTGACATCTAGATGCCTCAATTAAGTTGATAGAGTAATGCACAATATCCATAAATGCTGATGGCATGACCTGGCTGCTGAAAAGAGGCATTACTAATGTAGAAGGTCTAAACAAAAGGATTTTTGTCATTTGAGTTATCAGTTTTTCTTTTGATAGGAAATGCATGTGCACCAAGGAATTGCCATTGATTTAGTGAGTGGTTTATTTATGGCATCATTTAATGTACAGTCAAATTCCCTTCGGTTAAATTTATCCTGTTTCAAATGTGTGTCATTGTGGCATCTGCCACTTGAGGACTTTGTGCTTACAATTGTTTGCAGGAAGAAGTTCTTCTTGAATTCATACTACATGTACAATATAAATTACTTAAGGAAATCTTGACTGGTACCCTAAAATTGTTTTGGTATTTGTTGCAGAATTCACAATGTCAAGAAGATATGACAGCCGCACAACTATCTTCTCCCCTGAAGGTCGTTTATATCAGGTTGAATATGCAATGGAAGCTATTGGAAATGCAGGCAGTGCAATAGGTATCTTAGCTAAAGATGGTGTGGTGTTGGTAGGTGAAAAGAAGGTCACTTCAAAGCTTCTCCAGACCTCGACATCCACCGAGAAGATGTACAAGATTGACGACCATATTGCCTGTGCTGTGGCTGGAATGATGTCAGATGCCAACATCCTCATTAACACTGCGAGGGTTCAAGCTCAACGCTATACTTTTGCTTATCAAGAACCAATGCCTGTTGAACAACTAGTTCAGTCTCTGTGCGACACCAAGCAAGGCTACACACAGTTTGGTGGGCTTCGTCCATTTGGTGTTTCCTTTCTTTTTGCAGGCTGGGACAAGAACTATGGCTTTCAACTGTACATGAGTGATCCAAGCGGCAATTATAGTGGTTGGAAAGCTGCAGCAATTGGGGCCAACAATCAACCAGCACAGTCAATGTTGAAGCAGGACTACAAGGATGACATGACAAGAGAGGAAGCTGTTCAACTTGTTTTGAAGGTGCTTAGTAAGACTATGGATAGCACTAGTCTTACCTCAGACAAGCTTGAACTGGCAGAGGTATTCCATACCAATGGTAAAGTCAAATACCAAGTGCACTCACTGGAATCTGTGAACAAGTTGCTCATACAGTATGGATTAACCCAACCAGATCCAGAGGCCGCCTAAAACACTTTTCTGACTTTGAGCATGTTTCAGCTATCTGATTACTGGATAAGCTGTTCACTGACTTGTCCATAAATTCATGCCTAGATATTTTCTGTCTTTATTCACTTCCTTAGATGGCAAAGTCCGCTGCCTTGTGCTAATGAGAAATTGGAAATACATTTGGGTACTTTTTGGTGCTTTAGTAATAGGTGTGGTGCAGTCTCCTATATGCTTGTTATGTTTGATAATGATATTCTGACTCAGTGCTGGGTAATAGTCGAAAACATGAAGCATTAGAGCCCATCACCTTCAGTTTTTTATAAGAGGCCTCGAATTTGGAGACGTATTTTTAATGAAAAAATGCAATGATCTGGGAATTTTATTTAGTGCCACACCTTACCACAAATTGATACCACTTTGTATCAATTTAGGGGTTGTTAGGACCCGTCAAACTTAAAGTATATAGTAATAATTAGAAAGATGACAGAGAAAGTTTGACTGGGTTCTTATAAAAATAAGGGAACAGATAAAATAGCGCAGTATTCCATTAAAAAAATTCTGATTTTATGACCAATTGGTTGTATTCTCAGTTCTCCAGCTATATATATATGTCCAAGTCCAACCACCCCGTCTCCTTCACGTGATTTTTCTTGGGAATTGCATCAAACAAAACAAACAACAAGTAGCCTAGATTTGCTTCTTACAGATAACCATGGCTGAAACTCATGAAACAGTTTTCAAGTCAGTACAAGAACTAGCAAATGACAATCAAGTTCCAGAAAAGTATATTCATACACAAGGGTCAATCAATAGCTCTTCTCCTCTGCTGGATGTGCCAGTGGTTGACCTTAGCCTTCTCACATCGCCTGCCAGACAACAAGAGCTCAACAAACTTCAATCAGGCCTCGAGTTTTGTGGCTGCATCCAGGTTTGATTTTTATAATCTTGAAAATGGTCTTTTTTTTTTACTTGGCTTGTGATTGACAGAGAGATTTGGGGGTGGTATGGTCAAGGGTGAGGTTTGGGGGAATTGAGTGGGTGGGAAGGAAATAATAAACTTGAAATGCCACTTATACAACTTGTTTTCCCTGCTTCCATTAGAAAAGTCATTTCCCTTTTCCCTAATTAGAAAAGTCATTTTTCTCATTTTTAACTTGTTTTCCTAGAGAAATTTGACCAACCAAAGATAGGAAAATTGGAAACACACCCTACATGTAAGAATGAGGGGCCCATGTAGATTTTTGGCTATGGGTAACTTCCAATACGAACTACAGATATGTACTCATAATGAAATCAATAACTTAACACCAACGGATGTCGTACAATGGTGGGGTTGCTCCTCCCTTGACTATAGGTCTCGAGTTAGAGCTCTGGATAGGGAAAAATCCTTGGTAGAGGACACTTCCCTCCGAATAGAGTCCTATGCAGCGCGAATTTGGATTAGTCGGGATGCAGTGTGGGTAATTGATAGAAATAAAAAATATTAAAATACATTATTAGATATGAACCAATAATTTCAGGTATCACAAATTGAAATCCCACCAAATCTAAGAATAGTAAAAGAAATGGATATGAACACAAATCTTTATGCTCTCTGAACTCTTGGTCGCAGTGGCAGAGCTAGGACTGTAAGGTTGTGGGTGTTGTCTTAGTTTAAGAGCGGCAGAGTCTTCAAAATATATTTTTTAAAAGACATTAAAAGTGAGTTGGATTTTAAGGTTGTGGGTGCTCTCTTAGTTTAAGAGTGCGGAGTCTTCAAAATATATTTAGAATAAAACGTATTAAAAGTGAGATTTGAACTCAGGCTTAAGAGTGACGGGAGTCTTCAAAATATATTTGTTAAATTAGGTCTTGGACCTAACTCACACCCCAAAAGCTAGCTCAAAGGGAGAAGGATTGCCCAAGCCTTATAAGGAGTCCACCCATCTCATTAACCATCGATGTGAGACTTTTGCCATTCTTTAACATCTCACCTCACGCCCAGTGCTTAGCATCTGGTGCGTGGGCAATTTTGATTTTGGGGGCCCCAACATCGGGTGAGACGGGCCCTGCTCTGATACCATGTTAAATTAGGTCTTGGACCTAACTCACACCCCAAAAGCTAGCTCAAAGGGAGGAGGATTGCCCAAGCCTTATAAGGAGTCCACCCATCTCATTAACCACCGATGTGAGACTTTTGTCATTCTTTAACAATATTTAAAATAAAACGTATTAAAAGTGAAATTTGAACTCAGGCCGAGCAACACTAAGACAACCTTAAGCACCCACCAAGAGCCATTAGACCAATCAAACCATTTGTTCATTGGGTGCTCTATATTAATTTTATACAAATTCTTCTTAATGTCTAGATAGATATATGCTCGAGCACCCGGAGGACTCTTTATGGGTCTGGCCCTGCCTGGTTGCAATATCCGTTTAACAAATGAATTATGATATTGGAAATTCAGGTCATAAATCACGGACTAGTTGATTCATTTCTTGACAAAGTGCATGAAATTAGCAAACAGTTCTTTGCTCTTCCAGCTGAAGAGAAGCTTAAATATGCCAGAACAGTTGATGACATTTATGGATACGGAAACGATTCAGTTCTTTCAGATAAGCAAAAGCTTGATTGGACTGACAGATTGTATCTAAATGTGTTCCCTGAAGATATAAGAAACCTCAAATTGTGGCCCCAAAAACCTGAATGTTTCAGGTACATCTTCTCTGCTTTTACTCCGAAATGAACAAGTTAAGATGCACAGAGCTAACAAAATTACTATTTGGTGGCAGGGAAGTTCTTGAGGAATATATCAAGAATATGAAGTTGTTGAGTGAGTCCCTCCTAAAGGCCATGGCAGCATCATTGAACTTGGAGGAGAACTGCTTTCTGGACCAGTGTGGAGAACGCGGAGATATGATTGCAAGATTCAACTTCTATCCTCCGTGTCCAACACCTGAGGTTGTACTCGGAGTCAAACCACATGCTGATGCATCGGCCATTACCATCCTGTTGCAAGACAAAGAAGTTGAGGGGCTTCAGGTTCTCAAAGATGATCAATGGTTCAGAGTGCCTATTGTCCCATATGGTCTACTCGTTAATGTTGGAGATCAAGTTGAGGTAAGAAAGAGTATACTAAATCATGCCGAAGAGCTTCAAATGTGTTGGATTTATTTAATTGATTCAAAATTTAATGTGTCTTTTGGTTGGACACAATTCTTTTATGAAAAGATGCATTCAATCTTTTTAGGACACATCTGAAAAGATGTATCCAGTTGTTATAAGGACTCATCTCTTCAGTGAAAGGTATGATTTCAACATTATTTGGCTCTTTATGATTTCAACTCCTTCAAACGTCCTTTGTCCTTCATGAGTTCCCCAGAACTCTATTTGAGTGTACATTAGATGATGGTTCGTTGTATTTTAGAAGTAGGACGTTACTGTACTATTTGCACTCAGGTAGCAAGGGAAATCTATTCTGAGATCAACCTTCCATAGCGTGCCTCGGAATGATTTTTCTTATTCAAGACTCTCTCCTTTTATGATTAATTGTTGCAACTTGAACTGGTTGTTGATTAAATATTCTTCCTTAGCGTTGCCATCTCTAATATTTTCCAACAAAATGTTGTACAACATGTAGAGTTCTTAGGATTGTTGTTCTTTGCAGATAATGAGCAATGGTATCTTTAAGAGCCCCGTGCACAGGGTGGTGACGAATGCAGAACGAGAAAGAAACACCCTTGCTGTTTTCATTATGCCAGATGTAACTGTTGGGATTGGACCAGTGGAGAAGCTTATCAATGAGGAAAGGCCAAGAGCGTATAAGGACGTTAAGAATTATGTTGAACTCTTCTTCCAAAGCTATCAGCACGGGAAAAGACCAATCGAAACAGCAATGATATGCCAAGAACAAGATTAGCTGCCAACAAATCTTGCTTTTCCATCAAACCCCCGCTGACAGTATGTTTGTCCTTCTTTTTTCTCTATTTGTATTTTTACTAGTCGTTGTTACCTGTGCTGTACACGAGCTCAACATGCTTTGAGAAATGCAAGCTCTTGAATAGGGGTTTGATCTGGAACCTATTGTTATTCATTTACAAAATATACCACATTCACAATATTTCCAAACAGGATGAACTGAAAGTTGCTTTGCGACAGAACAGAATACTTCTGTATGGCTTTCAATATATTAATATTATACATGTTCAATTTTATACAAGTTTAAGTGCTTATTTCTGCAAAACGGGACAAGGGTCAAAAATACCCCCCAACTTTATTTTATTGGTTGACTAAACCCTTACCGTTAAAAAGAAGTTAGTTTTACCCCTGCCGTCTACAAACTCATCATATGTACCCTCCAAATTAACGATTTGCCCCAAATCAATCTCAAATTCTCAATTTCGACCCGAATTACCCATTTAAAACTCATTTAGAATGAAATTCTTTTCTAATCTGATCCGACCCATATAAAACCCACCACCATTATAAACAAAATTTAATTTAATTTTCAATTTTCTCAATCTTGTTGAGTCCACCAAAACTAAAAAGAATGGATTTCTCCCTTGTCATTGAATTTGTTGTAGTGTTACTCATTCTGTAAATATTTTCAAAGCCATTGTTAAAAGCTTCTAAGGGTACTAGTTTTTGAATTGGAGCCTGAAACTTGAAGAACCAACCATGGAAACTTCATAGCCATTAATGGAGCTTGGAGCTTGAGTTTGAATTTCGGATTTTACAAGCGAGTTCCAACTTCGAAAAATCAATAATTTCAACTTCTTCCCCAAAATACCCAAATCGAAAACATCACACCCATTTCTTCACACTGAAATCACAGATCTGAATTTGTGTAATTAGATAATTCCCACCCAAAATTGCAGCAGCATGAACTTTTTAGTTTCTTTCTTGTTGTTGTTTTCTGGTGGAATTCGACCGCCTAGTACTGCCTTTTCGCCGTCGTGTGCGGCGGATTTGAAGAACTAGTGAATATATCTATACAAGTGACTTTTGGGGAAGAAGGTTATTGGATTATTTCAATAGCAATATTGTTCTTATTTTTGTGTATGAACATAAGGCTGGCATGTCTTCTTCCTCTGCTTTTGCTCCTAACATTGCTTCTTAAAAGCTCATTAATGGCTGGAAATTTATTTGTTCATTAGGAATTGAAATGGGTTTTGGTGAATTCATTACTTTTTTTTTTATACATTTGGTATGTAAGATCAGATTAAATGGGTTATGGGTCGGATTTAATTGATAATTTGTTTTTAAAGGGATAATTCGGGTCGAAGTTGAGAATTTGGAATTGATTTGGGGAAATCGTTAATTTGGAGGGTACATATGATGAGTTTGTAGACGGCAGGGGTAAAACTAACCTCGTTTTAACGGTAAGGGTTTAGTCAACCAATAAAACAAAGTTGAGGGGTATTTTTGACCCTTTTCCCCTGCAAAACTAAAGTTGCAGGGCAAAAATGTGAAGTGAGACCAAGTTAAGGATGTCATGTAGGACGTGTGTGTCTATTTGTTCAACTTTATATAAGTTTGAGTATCTACTTGTGCACACCCAAAGTTGGAGGGCATAAATGTGTAATGAGACCAAGTTAAATGACATATTTACATATTATGCCAAAAAACAATGAAGCATAAGAGCTTATCTCCTTCATTTTTGTTTGTTGTGGTCAGAGTTGTTATATTCAGGATTTGAAGTTTGTAGGCTCCACCAATATATCTCAAATTGAAAAAATAAATAATAGGAACACACAAAATAAATATGTGGTGATCAAATTCATCCCTGGACCAAGAAGGCAGCAAACTTAAAAGGTTCTTATCTGTTATTGTACCAACAACACATAATCAAGTCATTTTTCTTATTTATTTACTCAATTTTTCAATACAAATACATGATGCGTACAAAAATTATTAGATTTTCGGTAACACACTTTTTAATAAACTGATGAGTGATGTGGGCCTTTTCTTTTTTCCTCTCCCCACAAAAGGTGATATTAATACTACTGGTACTTTATACTATCAGTTTAGAGGAATTAAAAAAAATAAAAAATGTTTGAGGGTTTTCTTATGTATTATCCACCACAATTTCTATAAAATAAACACACCGACAGAATAGAGCAGCACTCCATTGAAAAATCCAATTTTATGACCAATTGGCTGTTTTGTATAGAAGGATCCATTTGACTTTGACCATACAAATTATTCATTTTTATTACAATAATTTTTTACTTTATTTGAAAAAGCATCATAAATTTTTTAAATTCAACTGAAAGTTGCATTTTAAATTTAGAAAACAGTTTATAACTTGTTTTCTAATTCATTTTTATTTTAAAAATTATATTTAACATTATTCGAAATATTCTTTATAAAAAATATAATTAAACAAACCTTTTATTTTGAAATAATGTTTATGCTCAAATTTACTTAAATATAATTTTAAAAGCAGAAATACATAAAAAAAAATAGTTTAGCTAAAAAATATCCCTACTGTCCCATATAAGATCATTTTGAACTAAACTATTAGCAGATGACAAAAATTAATTGAACTTACAACTCTAGCGTGAAAAACATTTTCACAGTTTCTTTCTTACCATTAAACCATCAATCAATTTTGTTAGAGTTCACAAGTTAATATACATATATATTTAATTAAATTTTTAATATAAATACAGAGTCTAACCAAAAGATACTGAATTTGTCTTAGTCCACAAATCCCACCTAGCTTTGGATATATCATATATTGAGAAACGAAGTAAAGGATAAGATGTACAACTAGCTAACATTTGCCTCTTACAAAAATAAAAACCATGGCTGAAACTCAACAAGAAATAGTTTTCAAGTCAGTACTAGAACTAGCAAATAATAATCAAGTTCCAGAAAAGTATATTTATGCACAAGGATCAATCAATACCTCTCCTCCCCTGCTGGCTGTGCCACAAGTTGATCTTAGCCTTCTCACATCCCCTAACAGACAACAAGAGCTCAACAAACTTCTATCAGGTCTCAAGTCTTGTGGCTGCATCCATGTCTGTTTTTTCTAATCTTAGAAATGGTCTTTCTTTTTTTAATTATTTCCCCCGTTCCATTTTATATGAGCTAGTTTGACTTGACATGAATTTTTAGAAATAAAGACTTTTGAAATTTGTGGTCTAAAATAAGTGATAGATATTTGTGTAGCCATAAATCATTTCATTAAAGGTAAAATTGACATTTTAAACTTAAATTGTTATTTAATATAAAAATATCTCATTCTTTTTGAAACAAAATAAAAAGTAAAGTGAGTCATATAAACTGAAACACATAGGCCATACTTGGTTTGTGATGGAAGAAAGTTAAGTAAGGAAAATCATAATAGCTTACATAGCTGAATTTTCAACTTATTGGTTCTAAAGATTTATTTTACCTTGTAATCTCCTCCCGGTTTTCCCTTCTCCATGATCTAGAAGAGAGGGAGGTATTCACTCGAACACCCGGTAAAGAATTCCACGAATAACTAAATAAACTTGTGAATGAAAATATGGAAAACCAAATTATGTTTACTAGATTTGTTGGTGAAGAGCACTATTAAAGAGAATCAACTACATTAGAAGAATGAGGGGCCAATCTAGCTTTTTGGCTACGGGTTCATCATATATACGTAAAAAAATAATATACGAGGTGTTCACAAGACGCTTTTTGGACGCTTACCTAGCCAATGCTTAGATTCGGCTCTTTAGTTCACTCCAACATTCCCCATTTGTTCGAGGGACCAAGCTCCTTGCTCCGCCACTGTTTTTTGGTTCACTCCAACATTCCCCACTCAGAGGCGTATCCAGAATATCGAAGGGAGGAGTGCACTATTACGAAAAGATGCATCAAAGATATAAATTTAATCGATTTGATCTTTACGTTCTTAACACTGAATCATTAAATTTTAAAAATAATAGGTCCAACATATATAATACTACTAGTTTTAAATTTTAATATATACATTTGATTTAATTATATAAAAAATTTACTGTGCTAATTTTTTTTAGGAATTTCCAATGTTACACACTTGAAAATTTTGAAAGATTAAAACAAAAAAATAAAAGAAAATTGATCGAAACGCCAAAAGTGTTACTGATAACCACTTGGAGGGTGTTACTAACAAAAATAAGATAGATATAAGATTTAAATTTCTACCTTTAATTAGAGAGATGCACCCGATCATCATCGTATTATTATATGCTACTTTTACATGGGTTCACACCCAGAGGCGGACCACCCTCAAGGGTGTGGGTGCACGTGCACCCATTCACTTCAATTTTTTGTGTGTATATACACGTATATTATGAAATAAGGAATATATAACTCAATGTGCAACCGGAAACACATAAATTGAGTTGGTGTAGTGGTCAAATACCTGGTCGTTAGTAATCTTAGCAACTCGCTGGTCGCGAGTTCGACTGTTCTTTTGTCAATTTTAATTTTTTTCTCCAAAAAAGGCCTAATAAAAAAACCTCAAGCGAGATTCGAACTAGCAATCTCAGTGTGTACACTAAGGGTCAAGACCATCAAATCATAGAGTGAATTATGTTAGATTTTTTTAATTTATATTTATATATGCACTCGATTTTATACTTGTTTGACAATATTTTTCGATGAAGTGTCGTTGCTTCACTAACTCACACTCGACTTCAATAGTACCCCCGGCGTCTTTCAATCCTGAGTTTGCCTCTATTCACACCTCTATATTTAAATAATTTTATAAAAAAATATAATGCTACTATATATAATCTAGAGAGGAGAACCCACAGAACCCCCTCTAGATACGCACCCCACTTGTTCGAGGGTTGCTGAGCGGTTATACTAAAATCTCAATAAAAATTAGATACAGATCCATAATTTTAACATTACTATAAGTTCAATACTAATAATCTTTAAAGTTAAATTTAGGCATAATACATAAAGAGCACACTCAAACTTGGTCTCAATTGACAAGTAAATACTCAAATTTTGATTATGCACATCTAGACACTTCAACTCGTCTCTACTGTAGTTGAACACTCTAACTTACAAAATGATTATCTAGACAACTTCAAATTTTATGTGTCACATCAGCATCGACATTCATGAGACAATGGGAATGAGTTAGAAGGTTTAATTACCCGTTGATTCTATGTTGAAGTATCTAGATGTACGCTCTCAAAGTAACAAAGGTCAAGTTTAAGCGTTTTTTTTTCTGTAATGTGTTATATTTTTAGTGTTAGCTCCGCTTCAGCTAAGAACAGTAAAAGAAAAAGGGTATCACAAGGGGATGAACACAAATCTATATGCTCTCTGCACTCTTGTTTACAATATATCAGTCTAACATATGATATTGGAAGTTCAGGTCATAAATCATGGAATAGAAGATTCATTTCTTGACAAAGTGCGCGAAATTAGCAAACAGTTTTTTGCTCTTCCAACTGAAGAGAAGCTTAAATATGCCAGAACAGTTAATCAAACAGAAGGATATGGAAATGATAAAGTTCTTACAGATAATCAAAGGCTGGATTGGTCCGATAGATTGTATCTAAATGTGTTCCCTGAAGATATAAGAAAACTCCAATTCTGGCCCCAAAAACCTGAATGTTTTAGGTACATCCTCTGCTTTTACTCCGAAATGAACAAGTTAGACATACACAGGGCTAACAAATTACTACTTGGCACTTGACAGGGAAGTTTTTGAAAAATATATCAAGGATATGAAGTTGTTGAGTGAGTCCCTCCTAAAGGCCATGGCAGCGTCATTGAACGTAGAGGAGAACTGCTTTCTGGACCAGTGTGGAGAACGCGGAAACATGATTGCAAGATTCAACTTCTATCCTCCGTGTCCAAGGCCTGATGTTGTACTCGGAGTCAAACAACATGCTGATTCATCGGCTATTACCATCCTGTTGCAAGACAAAGAAGTTGAAGGGCTTCAAGTTCTCAAAGATGATCAGTGGTTCAGAGTGCCTGTTGTCCCGTATGGTTTACTCATTAATGTTGGAGATCAAGTTGAGGTAAGAAAGAGTAAACTAAATCATGCTGAATGGCTTCAAATGTGTTGGATTTGTTTTTGAGTGATTCAAAATTTATTGTGTCTTTTAGTTAGACACAATTCTTTTATGAAGAGACGTATCCAGCCTTTTTAGGACACATCTTTTCATTGCAAGGTATGATTGCTGGGGAATCTTATTAGCTCAGTTGGTTGACTATGTGATCTTTCACATTGTTGGTGACAGTGCGATTCTCCACCTTGTAATACCCTCCCCTATTTCCCCTCTCTTACCCCCATTTAGGCATAATATATAAATATGACCATTAACTTGACATCAACTGACAACTATGACCTTTAATTGACTTTGAATGTGCACAAGTAGACAATTAAACTTTTATAAAATTAAACAAATGGACACATTTGTCCTACATGGCACCCTACATGGAAATTTTGTGTCCTATGTGGCGTTCTACGTGTATTATGCCATGTTTGGACACGTGAGCGTACTTGTTCAATTTTATACAAGTTTAAGTGTCTACTTGTGCACATTCAAAGTTTGAGGGCATAGTTGTCCGCTGAAGCCAAGTTAAAAGTTATGAAAGGTATGATCACTCTGTACTTGAGATCAACATTATTTGGCTCTTTATGATTTCATCTCCTTCAAACGTCTATTGTCCTTTTTCCCAAATTCTATAAAAGCAATCAAGAGATATAAGAGTTCGCGGGACTTCTATTTAAGTGTGCATTATATGATTTCCTGAGTGGTTCGTTGTATTTTAGGAGTAGGATGTCATTTTGCTATTTGCACTCTGGTGGCAACGGAAGTCTATTCTGAAATCAGTGCCTCGAACCTGATTTTCCTATCCAAAGTTCTCTTTCTTCTTTTACCATTAATCGTGTCAACTTGAATTGGTTGTTGATTAAATGTTCTTCTTTAGCGTTACCATCTATAATTATTTTCCAACAAAATGTTGTACAACAAGTAAAATTTTCAGAAAAATGTTGTTCCTTGCAGATAATGAGCAATGGCATCTTTAAGAGCCCCGTGCACAGGGTGTTGACGAATGCAGAACGAGAAAGAAACACCCTTGCTATTTTCATTATGCCAGATGTAGATGTTGGGATTGGACCAGTAGAGAAGCTTATCAATGAGGAAAGGCCGAGAGCGTACAAGGACATTAACAACTATGTTGCACTCTTCTTCCAAAGCTATCAGCAGGGGAAAAGACCAATAGAAGCAGCAAAGATAAGCCAAGAACTTCATTAGCTGCCAACAAAAAGCTCCATTTCTTGCTTTTCTATCCAACCCATGTTGACGTCGTATGTTGGTTCCTTCTTCCTCTATTTGTATTTTTACTAGTTGTGGTTGCTTGTGATGTGTACGAGCCCAACACTAAGATCTGGACATGCTCTAAGAAATGCAAGCTCTTGAATATGAGCAAGACAACGGTTTGATCTAGAACCTATTGTTATTCATTTACAAAATATACTAAATGCACAATATGTATCAAAGATAGGAGTAAGGTGTGCGTACACCCCAACCTCCCTAGACCTCACTTGTGAGACTACACTGGGTATATTGTTGTTGTTATTGCACAATATTACGAAACAGGATGAACTGAAAGTTGCTTTGGCGAAAGAACTGAATACTTTTCTAACTAGAAGAAGGAAGAAACAATAACTGCTAACGCACATACATGAACAGTTCATTTCTTCGAGTCTTTGTTAATGATTCAAATGGAACAAAAGTGAAGATTGCTGCGTCCAAACAATCTAAGAAGTGTAGTTAAATAACCAAAAACAGAATGGACAAATTTCTACTGATATTTACTTTTTGATGACCGGGATGTTCGGATCAGCTTTCACACACCTCAACTAATTTCACAGTATACTTGTTATCTTCTACCAACAACATGTATTAGGTAACTCTGTCTACCCAGACTCATATGAGGTAAAGATAGGTCATGAGTAGAAGGGTCTAGGTGACAAACTGAGTCAAGCATAAAACATTCCGCCTTACTTCTAATAAAAGTTAAGCTATTGTTGATTAAGTTCTAAAATGAAAAAGTTATCGAGAAGAACTATTGTTGTCCTTGAATTATTTTTTATTAAATATAATCCTAGTAGTGTTTTTTCAACTATGACATTGTTACTCTGATTTGATCTTTTTTCACTTCTTTAAATAAGCACACTGCTTATAGAAAATTTTGTCAATAAAGAGTGGTGAGTAATTAACAACTCCATAGTACATAAATATATTCCTTTATTTCCTTTTGAATTTTCTCTTTTAATTTAATTTATCGTTTATAATTTTCTTTATTGGAATTGGTTGGGAGAGAGGAGGATGATTAGGTTAATCTTAGCTTTGAAACAATGTAATATAATGTCTTCCATATAGCAAACATTAAATAATACAGAAACCAATTAACTCAATATTGGTTGGTATATTACCTATTATCCTCTAAACAAGTTATGCAATATTATGATTACTTCTCCTACATACGCAAAATATAAAAACAAAAAATCGAATTTCTCTCTCAATTTTTCCCCCTTTTTTTCCCCCAATCTTTACTACCCCATAAAATTCATCCAAATTTGGTGAAATAACTCCTCCTTGGGAGAGTGGTAGGGGTGGGGTCAAAGAGTTTGGTTTATTTATTTTAGGTCAGTTAAAAATATATATATAAATAAACTTGTTAAATTATGTATAAGAATTACGGGTTATTTATTTTAATAAGTAAAGATAACTTGATGATGTAGATTTTTTTTTCTATATTAATAGTGTATATAACTTAATACCATACGAGAATAACATTCCTTACGTTATTGTATTTCAAATAACTAACTACTATCTCCATTTCGTATACTCAAAATAGTTATATCAAAAAATACTTGTGATTTTTGACAAATAAGAGAGTTGATTCCTTTTAATTATTTTTTTACTCCTTATGCTAATAAACATGAGAGGAGAATAATAAAATGGAAAACAAGAGCAAAGTAACAAAATTGGGATTAAAAAATAAGAATAATTTGTTTTAATTTATTATTTTTTCAAGAGTGTGCAAAATATAAATGTGACAACCAAAGAAAAAGGAAGAACTAATATGTTTCTTTTTTTTTTCTTTTTATTCTGAAAATAGCTATAATACTCTCAAAATTTTACTAAAGGAAAGTTTCAGATTCAAATCTCTCTTTTGATTCATTTTTAAAAAAATCTTGTTATTAATTCTAGAAGCAAAAAAAAAGAATAAAAAGGGGGAAAGTTTTATAGGACCAACAGAGAGAATAAACCACCTTACTTTAGGTGCTTCTTCTTTTCTTTCAATTTCCCTTTTTGTTTTGTTTTGTTTATTTTCACATCTTTTTTTTTCATTTCAGAAATGGTTTATTAAATGTCATCCTTCCACCTATTGGATAAAAAATATCCTTAACATATAAAAATGGTTCAAAAATATCTTCCTTCCACCTATTGGGTCAAAAATACCCTTAACCTATTAGAAATAGTTCAAATTTACCCTCCTTTTACCTAAAAATATGATTATCAACTAATAAATACTATTTAATATGCCCGCATTTTGTGTGATCTTAATATATTTTAATAATAAATATAATATTTTTATAATATTAAAACATTCTTAAAAATTCTTTTTAGCCTTCAAATTTAAATAAATTAAAACTCAATTTTAAATTTATTTTTCTTCTATTTTTTCATTATCTAACAATTTTAGTCTTTTAAAATTACTGAGATTTTTGTATCAATTATGTTAAGTGATACTGTATATACACTCAGAAAAAAATTGAACAATAATTATCTTACTATGGGCATATACATAATGAAATTCCTCTTTCTCCGTGACTAAGACAATATTTTTATACAACATACATTCAGGTTAATTCACACGTTAATTCATATATTTTATTTAGAGAAAATACATATATTAGGTAAGGAAAATATTTAGACAAACAAGCAAGAATTTTAAAAAAAAATACGAATCAAAAGAAAACTAAATAATTGTCAACGTACAGTAAAAAAATAATTGACATGTATAATTAGAATTAGGAAATATTTTTGAGTCATTTCTATTATGTTAATGGATTTTTTTTTATCTAATAGGTATATGGAAGAGCAAATTTGAACCATTCTAATAGATTAAGGGCATTTTTTATCTAATGGGTGGATTGAAGGCATTTTTGACCCAATAGGTGAAAGAAAGGGCAAGTTTGATCTAATAGGTGTGGAAGGAGGATATTTTTGAACGATTTCTAATACGTTAAGAGGACATTTTTAACCTTTTCCCTTTAATATAATATGCTGAAAATAGATTTTTTTTTTGTTTTTTTTAACAAAGTTACTGCACTTTGCCCAAGTATCATAAAGTCAGTAAATATTTTTTTTTAACCGAGTCATGCACTAAGTAGGTGTTTGGATATAGGTTAAGTTGAGATTAGGAAAAAATAGTTTTCGAAGTTGAAGTTGAGAAATGATATTTTAGAAATTGAAATTATATGTTAACAAACAATTTTCCAAATATGAATAAAATCTCATTTTAAAAAAACTTACCAAAAAATCAATCCACCAAACAATTTTTTTTTTTTAAAATAAAGGGAAATGTTTAAATACCTTTCAAAATTGTTTTTTGTCACTTACTTTTTTGACAGCGACATTAAAAGTTAGTGGAAGTTAATTGAAGAGCTTAACTAATTTTGTTGCATGTGGGGACATAACGAAACACAAGAATCATATGGATTTTGACAGTCATTAGATATTATGTAATCAAATCGAAAAAATGAATTAATTAATTAATTTTCTCACACCTTTAACTTTTGATTTCTCACTTGGTGTTTGAGTAACTTGGATTTATGCATGTTCAGTCACTTTAGGAGTAAAAACATTCCCAGTTAAAACGACTCCATACTCCACTTGTTATAAGAGCTCCTGACTATAGACATTAAAGTCAGCTTGTCTAAGAATGTAAATTATGTGGTGGATACGATAACAAATATAAGCCTTCTACATCAGTCAAGAAGTATCATTTTAGAATTTTCCGTTCATCGTATCGACCAATTCAGACCCCGTGCTTATCACCAATGGAAGTTAAGATAAAACATGCTTTCATTCCAAATGTACTAATTAAAGATGAAAGAATACCTACCATACCCGCCTTCCACCCCCTCACAGGAAAATAGCTTAACTTGCAAAATCATATAGTGGTCCACAGAGTTTGTACTTTATGTAACATGCAAGAAATAATTGGGGGAAGAATTACGTACCTAATGAAAGTTTGTTGCTACATTTTTTACTATTTTATTTTATTGAATTTGAATGAAGGTTTGTTATTATGATTATTACCTTAGAGAGGGACCCCAATATCCATGTCATCACCAACTAAAGAAAAAACGACTCAGCAGCAAATTTTAATTAAATTTTAAAGGACCTTTTCACCTATATATACAACAAGCCTAAAAAACATCTATCACAATTCACAACTGAAAAGAAAAACCAATATTTCTTAATATTAGTAAAAAAGAGAAACAAAAAAAATGGAATCTTGGCTTCGTATTTTGTTCTTGTTTGCATGCCTCTTTCCAGCTTTCGTTGAATGCCGGATTCGACGTTACAACTTTAATGTAAGTATTATTTAAAAAAAACGTTATCAGTATAATTTAACTTGTTATAGTAACTAATATACGATAAGATGGTTGGTTTAACACAGGTGATGATGAAGACTACGACTCGGCTATGTTCTAGCAAGCCCATTGCCACTGTTAATGGCAAATTCCCAGGACCAACAATCTATGCTAGGGAAGGTGACAATGTGCTCGTCAATGTTGTTAACCATGTCAAATATAATGTCTCTATCCATTGGTAAGTAATTATATACAAATATTCTTACATAACTACTATAGTTTAATCAATTATAGCAATGTTAGTCACAATTTTTATCACCAAGTAATGTTTATTGCATATATTTACCGCGATGACAATAATGTCACACCTATGATTTGAGCATGTGATCTAAAGTAATTTTTGAACCACCTTTATTATTGCACTAGAATTTTTCAGTATGTCAAGGTAGATTCAATTGAACCCTTAAGTGACGTGATTGTATAAGTATTTCTGATACACTAATTGGTTCATTCTTTTTACACAATGTTTTCATGATTTGGTGTGTGATAGGCATGGTGTGAGACAACTTAGAACAGGTTGGTCAGATGGACCAGCATATATCACACAATGTCCAATTCAGCCAGGTCAAAATTATGTGTACAACTTTACCATCACTGGTCAAAGGGGTACACTCTTTTGGCATGCTCATATTCTATGGCTAAGGGCCACTATGCATGGTGCCATTGTCATTTTGCCTAAACTTGGTGTGCCATATCCATTTCCAAAACCTGACCATGAAGCTGTTGTTGTTCTAGGTAAAACATAAATTACTCCACAATCCACATGAACACTTTGTTACAAAAATGAGATTAAATTAATTATTTTGATGGTTTAATGCAGCTGAATGGTGGAAATCTGATACTGAAGCTGTGATTAATCAAGCCATTAAGTCAGGATTAGCCCCTAATGTTTCTGATGCTCACACAATTAATGGTCATC